AACGCGGGATGGATGCGCTGTCACCCGGTTGTTGTCACGGCTCGCAAACGTCACTACGATATCCGGTGGTGTATACTTCGATGATTCTCGTACGCAGGAAGCAAGAAAAGACAGTACTGCTTACTTTGCTGGCAAGTGGCTGTCTTGTAATGCACGAAGAGCAGAAAAAACCACCGACGCCAGCGGCGTTGGCGGGTTCGTTTTGCTCTGCAACACCGCAACAAGCTCGGTCACGCCAACAGCAAGCTCGGTCACTTCTTCCACGAAATACGGACGCGAAGTAGGCACAGAGTAGGTTAAACTACCGTTGGTTTCAACATTCAGTTACGTGCGCTGCGGCATAACAAGTGAGTAGGGCTTGGCCGCCATTTTTCAAAATTCCTTGACTAGCGCTCCTATTGGTCCGCGGTGACCGATTCGGCGGCAGACGCCGCAATAATCGGTCCGAGAGCGATCGGTGCGGAGAGGGCCCTTTCGGCGAATCTCGCCGCCGCCGAACCGGATTCAGAGCACTTTCGGCGGCCGGAATGCTCAGTGTGAACGCGGCCTAACGCAGAGCCTGCAGAATACGATTCACCGATTTTTTTGCGCAGAACATAAAATAAACGTTTTGTTCACTCTCTCCAGACGTGAAACTATCGTCTTTCAACGACATTTGCGGTGTAACATGCATATTTGGAACCAATTTTTTCTGTGTATTTTTTTGACCGAATTAAGTTACAAAAAAAGGTGATGACAAGTGTATTCTCACAAAACACACGTCCACGAAGCAGTTTTTTGTAACTTCGTTCTATAATATGGCACTGACAGACAAAAGAGTGGCCGCTGTGCACAATAGTTAAAGTTCTGGCCTGGTGTGACGTTTGAACTCATGGAATGTACGAAGCGTAAATTATGTTCATTCATAAACGAGTTTCACAGATTTAGGGCCGTCTAGCAGTCCCAGTTTGCCGTACTTACTACCACCGTTGTCAGCAAGTCGCTATTTTTAGACCGCAAAACCTCTATTTTCCACTGTAATCAATCATGTGGTGGTGGTGGTGGTGGTGAAACATTTAATAACCATTAAATGGTTACAGAGAGGTGATTGGGTTGGGGCCTTATTGGCCTCCTACCCTCGCAGAACTAGGTGGAACCCCGTATTCCGGAGCTCCATTGGCAAGCAACGCCGCCCGTGCCCGTCGATCCAGGGCTTTTGAGTGTGAATACACTTTATAAGCGACCCCAAACCATCCACCGCCGTCGGCGGCGTCCGCAGTCTTCTCTCTATCTTTAAAAGAAAGAGGATTTGGCGGGCCGCAGCGCGACGCTCTACCGAATAAGCCACGGACGCGACGCTGATATCGGTGTCAGTAACGCGCCTTATACCCCCTCCCCCTTCGCTCGCTCCTCCGCTCTCCTCGCTCGCTGCAGCTGCGCGCGTACCCCTCTCTCTCGCGCGCCCGCCTTCTCTCTCAGTCTCCCGTCGAGAGCGGGTCGTGAGGGGAAGTAAAGTTAAAATCCGTTGGCATTCGCCAGTGAGTTAACGTAAACTCCCCCGTGTGATCAAATTGCGATTCCCAGGAACCATTACACCATAAAGGCACCATAGTGTGATTAATAAATATAATAGTGCGAATTAATAAATACCCCTCATAGCATCACCCCGTGTATTCGCACTTAACCATGTTCACCCTCAAGGAAATGCTTGGGAGTTTTTTTTTTTTTTTTTTTTTTTTGGCCTTCAGGTCTTGACAGCCGAGCAGGGCCGCCTCCCAGTCCTCTCTCGTTGGGTTGGGGTTGAGGGGGATAGATGGATTGGACTGGCACGCCCAGACGATGTGGAAGGTGTCAGCCACCTCACCACAGAACTGGCACGTGCCATCAAAGGATGAATTGAAATGTTTTAGCACCGCCGGGCACAGTACGGTATTGGTAAACAGTTTTAAAAGGAGGGGCTCGTCAGCGCGATGCAGTCCCTTACAAGGGTCTGGATAGCTCCGGTGCTCCTCCTTGTCGTAATTGGTAATATCTTTGAATGAAAGGGCCGAGTTGTCTGATTGGGAGTAGGCTTCCACTAAATAGAAGCAACGGTCTGATTTGGATTGATAAACGGTTGTCTGAGAATTCTCATGCCATAAGTTTCAGTAATGATTGATATGGGGGGTGTAACGTCCCAAGACCACCATATGATTATGAGAGACGCCGTAGTGGAGGGCTCCGGAAATTTCGACCACCCGGGGTTCTTTAACGTGCACCCAAATCTGAGCACACGGGCCTACTTCATTTCCGCCTCCATCGGAATAAGTTTCAGTAACGTAAGTTCAGTATTAGCGTAGACAATTGTGGTGGAAGTTTTGTTTAAATTTTGCGCTGAAATGTCCGCGCGCGGTGACAAAAATTTCAAAATGTATTTGTCGTTTTTTTTTCTTTTCGCAACGAAAGGCCGGATGAAATTTTCTGAAACTTCGTATTCTAGGTGGTGAAGGTAGTGGGACCGCTGAATTTTCGCTCAACTTCGTCTCAAGACAAAACCGCCGCTGCACGCCACAAGAGTACCCGAAAAGAACGAGGAGTACGCAAATTAACAAGCTATCCATCATTCCCATCCTCTCCGAAGCGCCATTTGTCACAGCTCCCATAGACATCAGCGCCACATTTGGCCCTTCGTTGTGCGCGCGTGTGCTGCCGAATGTGCTGTGTTTATCTCTCTTCCCTCTCTGCTCTCTATCTTTCATCTCCCCCCTCCCATGCGCAGGGTAGCAAACCGGCTGCCTGCAGGCATGGTCAACCTCCCTGCCGTTCTTTTCCTCCTATTTTCCTTCCTTCCTTCGCCCTTCGTAAACTATCATGAAACCTATCGATGCACGCCACCGGAATCGAAGTCGAAGGGCAACACTTACGCACCTTCGATGAGAGGGTAAAAAAAAAAACAAAGGCGAAATTCGTTCGGCGTGACTCGGCAGCGGCGGTGGGAGGGAGAAAGCGAAGGATGCGAGATGTACGTTTTAGATAACGCGCGTATAGGCTGTGAGAAACAATTCGCGCGTGCGCAGTGCGAATTTCCTTTTTTTTTTTCTCCCATCGGCCCACCACCACCGTTCTCCCGTCGCCATCGCGCGCACTACAAGTCCACCTATCAAGCTAACGGAGTACCTGTACGACAACGCGAACATCGTGGGCCCGTAGAGAAACGAAAATACACAAGCAAGTGATGAGCAGCTTTGTATGCGTACTACACCAGAATGCAGCAGCGAGCACCAGCGGCACGCAGTAGATATATGCAAAGCGCTCACCCCTGCGAAAAAAAGACAATGCAATCCGTTCTCGCTTTTTTTACTTATATACATTTCTTTCTCGCTTGCTTCGTCCCTTTGTGTTCACACTAGTTGCATGCGGCGCGGATGTTAAAGAAGTTGCACGTCACGCCACGATGCGGCCGCAATTCTGCCGGAACGCCCACTTGCTAACCTTGACTGCATTAAGCTCGGATTCTCTTAATCCCAGTTGCCTGCACGAAACTATAGCAGCAGGAGCCCGGCGCAAGAAGTTCCTTATGGTACACAGAATAGCACTCGTTTTACGTGGCGCGCACACCCTGCTGCAAGATAAAGTGAAACACTCGATGTAAAAGATGACATTGGTGATTGATATGTGGGGTTTGACGTCCCGAAAATCGCTATATAATTATGAAATACGCCGTAGTGGAGGGCTCCGGAAATTTCGACCACCTGGGTGTTCTTTAACGTGCACCCAAAACCGAGCACACGGGCCTACAACATTTGAGATGACATTGGTGCACGCCCACAATGCACGCACATTTTTTAACCCGCTCAGCGCTAAACATGTCCACTGTCACCCTTTATAAAAGAAAACACGTGATCCTGCGCTCTGTGGCGGCTGCCTACAGCACCATCGTCAACCGACAGCAAAAGAAGAGACGTTGGCTTCTGGCGTCATCTATTGGCAAACAAAACAACGAGTTACGGCCGCTGGACAAGCGCTGCGAGATATTGCAGGCAGCCGTCGTGGAGAGCTGGTCACGCGATCGCGTGTTCCCTTTCATAAGGAACGACAGTGTACGTAATGAGGCCTAGCATCAACCGCTCAACGAAAGCGTAACAAAGCACAACGATATCCCAGATAATGTCCCGAGAATCTCCTAATCACAGTCGCATGTTTGCAACTGCGACTGAAAATATCTTGCTTCGCAAGCAGCACTAATGATAACATCGCAAAATCAATAAGGCCGCGTAGTGCTGAGCCAATGTCATGTCACTGATCTATAGGATTTGTTATTTGAATTAATTTCAGGTCACCTGCTCTTCGATTATTCGATGTTATTAAAAGTGATTTAATAATGGTTCCTTCTAGTAGCAAAGTATACAGCTAATCGAGTATGTTTTTGTATAAACAGGTTATCGGTTTTTTAGTTGTGCCTTCCCTGCTAATCCTCTGTGTGCCTTACATGTTATCATAGGACATATGCTTTTTATTGCTATAATCTTGTTGTGAACATGAGTGCTAGTTTTATGTAAATTTACCTACTGGAAAATTTAACTGCAGAGTTAGTTTATTTTTGTTGCTGTTCCGGTTACTATATGTATACTTTGTGTTTTCCTTTTTTTTCATAATGTGAATAGCTTTATTTTCTACAGCCTCTCCTGTATAGGTTTCAAAAGATCCACAGTTTTCAATAAATAAATAAATGATAAATAATTAATTAAATAAGTAACTAGCTAACTAACTAATATCTGGGGTTTAACGTCCTAAAATCACACTATGATTATGAGAGACGCCGTAGTGGAGGGTCCTGGAAATTTTGACGATCTGGTGTTCTTTAATGTGCGCCCACATCGCACAGCACAAGGGCCTCAACCTATGCATTTCTTGGAATCACGGTGCGTTATTCAGAAATAATAATGGATGAATTCAAGCAGCGCCGTGTTTCGTGGTATTCGTTGTACCGACGTATATACACATACTCACACGCTCGTTTTCGTTTCTTCCGGGCGACGCAGACATGGCCCGCTCGGTGGTGGCGCTGTTCATCATCTCGTTCTTCTTCGCCTTCCTCTCCTTCTTCACGGGCATCGCCGGCTGCTGGAAGAGGTCGAACAGCAACATCATCGCCACCGGTCTGCTGCAGATACTCGCAGGTGAGGCTGACGTCCCCCCCCCCAAAAAAAAAACAAAAAAAAACAAATTTCCCCACCACCACCACTCTACAGGGTGGTGAGGTTTAGCCCCCCTCGCCATAAATGTGCAACCAGCGAGCTCAGGCAAGCACAATTTCCGGCTACTGCAATTTTACTTTTTTTGCGTCTACGCCACCGCCCTGGTGGGACGAGGGTTAGAGGGCGGTGAGAGAGAGAGAGAGAGAGAAAAGAAAGACGGGGAGGTTAACCAAGCTTGGCTCGGTTGGCTACCCTACTGGAGGGCGGTGGCTCACTTGAGAGATGGTGCCCTAGCTCGCATATTCTGCTTGCACATATATGCACAGTAATAGTGCACGCCTATTTTTTTACTATACGTTCTTATATATCAATACGGATAAGAGCCAGTAGTCAGTTCCAACCAACATCACCCGGCTGCCGGTGTGGTGTGAATGCAAAGCATCCTGATATTGGCTAGAACTGAGTACTGTCTCCTATTCGTTTTTACATAAGTAATCCAGTAAAACAGGCGCACCACTTACTGTATACATTTGACTCCTTGCGTTATAAGGAATTCATAAACTACAACCATCACCCTTAAGAAATTTCTTCGACAGGCATTCTCTTTAAGTTTACGATAAAGTAATCACTTTAAGTTTACCATGGAGTAATCAACGAATCAAAATATCGAATGCTCACGAGCGTGTAGATGTATATAGATGTTCCTACATAAAGTGCATCGGCACCCAAGCCCACATTTTTCTCGTATTTATCTTTTTTTTTTATTGACACACGTTTGTTCTCTTTTTTCTTTTTCCTACAATCACGGCGTGCAAGCTATAAAAAACTGGGTCGGCAGCACAGATATTTCATTCGTTCACGGACAAGCGAAATCGCATAGCTCGGGCGTCCCTCGACGTGCCCGTATATACGGAACACATTTCACAATTCGGCGCGCATTTCACCCCAAAAGACCTTCGCCACACACACACCGCCCATATACGCAGACGCAAGTAAAATAAGAGCGTTGCGTAAACAATCGCGTGGTTGCGCATGTACACACGTACACTTTATAATCCCATACACGACACACAGGCGCAGCGTTTCGGTATCGGATTTTCATTCGTCTTGCGTCTCGGCCTTGTATTATGCCTCACCCAGTCTTGGCACCGAGCGAGAGCCACACTTTGGCAAACGCTGTAAACTGTAAGGTATGCGTGTTGTTGTGTGCACTGTATATAGGTATATGTGTTGTGTGTTTTGTTTTTAGTTTGTGATCTGTTTTTGCACAATGTGTGTTCCTGCGATGCACATAAATACGGAGACTAGCTGCTTTGCGGCTTGAAGCGCATATATCGAGCCTACTGGCGTCGCGGGTGGCTCATATTGACTTCGAAGACTTTGTAAGGAATCGATTCAGATCGTCTCGCGCTCGTTTGTGGAATACGCGTTGCTATCCCATGCACGCCTCTCTCTCTTTCTCTCTCTCTTTTTTGCATTTTTACCGGCGTGTTACGCGCATAACTGCAATGCTTTACGCAAGCCTCGCCAGAATGTCTGGGAACTTTACCGATTCATTACGGCGAAGGCTTTCGATGTCTAATCAGACATAAAAAACTGACCGTCTGTGTCGGCGTCAACAAGGGTGACGCAAAATTAATGAATGAAATGAACTTTATTTGGATCAGGCTCTTTGTACTACAGCCCTAAGGTGGGTGCCCTCTTCAGTCCAGGTAGCCATGGCTCGCCGCCACCACTCGAGCCCGGTTCACCAACCGTAGCTGGTCGGCAGGGTCTTGCGTCACCAGCAAAGCCTCCCACTGGTCTTCAAATGCTTCCTCTTTATCCGTTTCTTTATCTTCGTTTGCACTTCGCGGTGATGACAATGGTACGTTCCGATTGTTGCGACACTCCAGCACCATGTGGCGCTGAGTGTTGCGCGTGTCTGGAATGCTTGCAGTCCCGCCTGAACGTTCCTGGATACATAGCGTGCATCAATGTTCCGCGCGGGAAAGTTCCGGCTTGTAGTAGTCTTCGCATGATTGCGTAAAAACAAGACGTCATGACGATGTCTCACATATCGCCTACATCATCATATCATCCTGACTACGCCCATGCAATGCAGGGAAAAAGCCTCTCCCGTGTTCCGCTAATCAACTCGGTTCTGCAGGTGTTTTCTGCTGCCGTGTTATAACAGCAAACTTTTAAATCTCATCTGCTCAACTAGTTTTCTGTCTCCCCCTAACGCGCTAACTCGCCTTTTCTTGGAATCCGGTCAGTTACTCCTGTAATGACCAGCAGTCATTCTGCATATACGCGTTACGTGCACAGCTCAGGTCCATTTCCGCGGACCGTGTCCATCACCAACATATGAGGCGTCATTTCACGACGTCATGCAACGTCACGCCATATGATCTCAGCTCACCAACACTTGAGACGCCACTGTGACGTCGCACAAGGCGACGACTTTTTATGATGTCATCATATATGACACTGTCACTTGGTCAAAGGAGGATCCACCACAGATTTGATGATTGATATGTGGGGTTTAACGTCCCAAAACCACCATATGATTATGAGAGACGCCGTAGTGGAGGGCTCCAGGAATTTCGACCACCTGAGGTTCTTTAACGTGCACCCAAATCTGAGCACACGGGCCTACAACATTTACGCCTCCATCGGAAATGCAGCCGCCACAGCCGGGATTCGATCCCGCGACCTGCGGGTCAGCAGCCGAGTACCTTAGCCACTAGACCACCACGGCGGGGCGATCCATCACGGAGACCGGGCAAAAACTTGTGTGGTTCCTCGGATCACGGAGGCCGTACAAAACCACGTTAGGTGCAGAAACCTTTCGAAGAAAGGGAGAAAGGGGGGAACAAGGTTTTCCGATAAAGTTTTCCGATAATAATTTGTTTATTATTTAATAAATAAATAAATAATAAATAAATAAAGTTGCACACACAACGGAAACGCTTGAGTTCATTTTGGGACTAACGCGACCACAGCAACGATGACGCTGGAATCTTCGATGACACACTTAAGTATGCCGACGCGCCTAGCCATGCATCAGATCAGTTCTTATCGACGACTGTGTGCACCAATATCGTTGCAATCAGAGTTACTTGGACGGTCAGACTTTATTTAAAAAGCTCCCGAGAGACGGGACTAGCGCAGTGGGCGTGTCCCACATTGACAAGCATGCTAAGTCTGACCACTGCATCTTGGGATCTATGGACGCGTACCACGGCTGACCCCTCTTGTTGGGACTTCTGATGGCCGAGCACCGCTTGGCCGAGTTGGCTTTGACCGCTGCCCAGCAACGAGGGGCATCGCCAGAGGATATGCTCCAAGTTATAGCTGCTTCCCCAAAACGGGGGCACGAGCTGCTATAGTGTTACCGCCGTATCCTTGAAACGTCCCTTCACTCAACGCTTCCCCTTGACTTGAAAAAGCCGACGCCAGTGCCGTCTCGTGGCCGATCAAGTCACTGTATATCTGCAATAATCTACAGCGATTCTTGAGAAGCGCAGTGTCAGTTTGAGTCGAGCGGTGGCGCAGTGCTCAACTCAGTCAAGTGAAGGACGAAATTCAAGTCGAGGAGCGTTTGTGAATACGGGGGATAATATCGGCGTATAAAGCTTACGAAATAAAATCTAACCTGGGTTTTCCGTCCGGGCACGAGTTCACACAGTACAGGGATTCCCTTTATTCTGCTGAAGTACTCCCTGTCTTCATCGTCACGATCACGTGACCGCACATGAGCACGTATGTAGTATATGCGCAGCAAGCGAAACGGGCGTTTTGAGTGCCGCTATACATTCTGCTGAAAGCATTACTTTGTGAAGCCGCAACGCTGATCTCAACGTAGCGCGTACAATAAGAACAGAAAACTATACAGTGCGGCAACAAGCCAACAAACAAGCTAACAGACAACGTGAAACAGACAACGTGATTTGAGATGACGGCGGAGGCACGAACTGTGAAGAAGTGTTGAAGTTCGTGTTATCCGGATTCTCTATAGATGAACGGAAAATGAAGAAAATTTTGCGAAGCAGTTCTTACCAATTGGCAACAGCAACAAAACACGAATATAAATGAACATGAATAAACAAGAAAAATGACAAACAAACGATTAGAGAATCCGATTTGCGTTGAAAGCATTTACGAAAGACTTGGTGTTCGTGTTACCCGAAGTTTAAAAAAAAAATGGCGGAAATTGCGCGAAGCAGTCGCTTAGAGATACGTGAACGCAGCACTAAAAGAAGCAAACGAACAAAACAAAAAAAAACGAATCAAAATTAAGGGAAAAACGCCAGTGCTCACAGGAGTGGGTATTTTCCGGCGCTTTCAGAAAAAAAAAGGAAAAAAAGAAACAAGACTAACACGCGCAACGAGAACTACGCAAAAATAAAAATAAAAGAAACAGCTCAATGGTAAATCGGGGACACGTAGAGAAAAAAAAAAAACCCCAATGAAGTAAGAGCAAACAAACAACGCTACAGGCGGCTCGAAGGCAGAGGCACGAGCGCTCGCCGAAAGTTTGGGGTTCGCATTATCCGGTAATTCGAGAAGAACGTGCAACAAAAAACGAAAACTACGCGCAAAAGAAACACAAAGACAATCGGTGCCGCAAAGCGCGCGTTCGCATTACATAGACGCCTGCGCCGCCCTTCCAGGTTTTTTTTTTTTTTTTTTTGTTTTTCCAGTTTTGCTTCTCGAAGAAAGCCGGTTCAGGTGCGTTTTTCCGCTTTTGTTTTATGTATCATTTTCTTCCCTTTTTTTCCTTTTTGATTTTTGTAATCGTCGGGAACTCAAAACGCGCGATCACCTTGACATTTCCGAAAGACGGCGTGAGCTGTAAGGCCTGAGCGGAGGCATGCGTACCGAAACGATCGTTTGTTAGTTGCGTGCAACATTCACTCGCGCGTACACGGACGCGCGAGTTTAATGTAAGAGACGACGCGATTGACAATGTTGTATGAACATAGTCGGTATGGGAG